GTTTTGGTTGAATTCCCCGTATTGGTTGAAACCCAAGGTTTGACATTCATGAGGTTTGATGGTCTTTGCTCCTAGATGGTTGACTCTTCAACTTTCCGGACATCGATCCCATGAAGGCTTACGATTACTTGTCCTCGAGGCCAAATGGTTTCTAACACTCATGATTAGGGGTACTTTCTTCATTCTTGAGTACAATATTGTTAGTTTATTATGTGGAACCATCCGTTTCAAGGCCATAACGAAGAAAGCCAAATATTTATAGCCGAACACAAATCCGGATTCTTCTTGAAGAAAATACAAAATTTCTATGTTTTGATAGTTTTCTTGTCTAATATTTTCTTGTCCAGCTTACAATACCAATTTGTAATTAATCTGTATGAATGTGCAGTTGAAGCATTTAGTCTTCGCAGGTTTTGCAATAATTCTGTTATCAAGTACGGACAAACCTAATGCTGCAGGTGCTAAAAGCAGAGACATAGATGCTGAAGACTATCCAAGTCTTCTGCATCTATGTGTCTGATAGGAACAACGTCCAGCTCATGCCCGTGAAGACTATCCAAGTCTTCAGAGGCATGTCTTCAGCGGCATGTGCTCTACGTTGTTACTGTCATCCACCTATACATCTCGAAGGACATTTTCTTTACAGGGGCAAACTGGAGCTCCCGCTTTGGAACAACCTCTATTTATTGGGTTCAAGATCTTATAGATCGTGAAAGTTGATAGTGAGTGGTATACTGGAGATACGGACAACATCTTAGATTTGATGGGCAAAGATGAGATTTTTCATGGTGGCAGACTGGAGCTTCTGTATCGGTGGTAGGAGACTTGCGAATCAGCTGACAAGCATTTGACAAGAGACAGCACTGCATGTGATATATTTCTGCTTAGAAAAGAACATGCGCTAGAACTCTATCTGATCTCTATTTTGAAGACTAGCTATAACTTCTACATCCACTTTCTTTTAGCTTGTTTCAAATTAGTTACTGCAATAATATGTGTGGTTAGTTGATTCTTTTTATTGCAATTCTTGATGTGGCCACGGGAGTTGTGGTATCTATAACCGTTGAGCATGAGACAGTAGAATTAGAAACTAGAAGTGGGTGATATAGAGTTTGTACTGAGATTATTCAAGTTTTCTAGCGCCCGTATCTATTAGCACATTTGGAGTATGGTCTTTAAGAATAGCATTTATTTATTGTGATCCACTTCTGGATTACGAATAATGATCAAGATATTTCAATAAATTAATCAGTAGATACCCGTAATGTAATACATTAATCACTTCCCAGATTTCTAATTTTGTTCCGACAAAGTCAATTGGAGCGAGTCATACGAGAAGTTCATGGCTCATCTTGTGGTCTAGTACAGGCTAGGCAGTTTCGACTTCAAGATTCCAACGGGGAAGAGCGAAATTATATAAATTGTCTGGGCCTTTACACTATGCTGCATGTTGGAGGCGTGTGAGTATGCGGGACGTCCCCAATGCTCTCTGTCCATTGAGTGAGATCTCTCCAATTCACTCATGAGTGAAATGATGGAATCATCAAAGCCCAGAACGACGGGGAAGCCCAGAAAAGCTATTCGATCCGATAGATTCTAAGGAAAGTAAGCCAAACCGGAGCAATGTTAGATTTGTGGCCTGAAATCGCTGTACAATTGCTGTGTTCATCATTGGTATCGAACTTTGAATAGTGTCTTCAACTTAGCATTAGATTGAGAGCCAATAATCAGCAATTCTGAAAACCATGTTTTATTTCGAATTAACCCGCTGTCTTGATGAATCAGAATATTTGTCGCAAGGTTTCGGTAAGCTTCTATGATGCTTCTTCTCAGCAAAAACTGTCTCCTACAGTTTCTGTCAGTTACCGAGATGAACTTGATCAGTTTAAGTGCTCGGAATCCTCACAGCGTGCAAGGCGTCGAATCTGCGAGTGCTTCAATCCAAATTTCAATCCAGGCTCCGCCCCTGGTCATCCTGACAGGGGCGGAGCCAGGATTTTTCTGGTGGGGGGCCGGGGCTCCCCGCCAGGTATTTATGTAGCGCCGCAGGCGAAATTTTTTTCTAGACCGCGTTTTCACAATCTGTAGAACTTTCCTGGGCTTAGGGGGGCGTGCACCCCCCTAAGCGCCCCCCCACCCCCCAAAAACCTAGCTCCGCCCCTGATCATGACCCATCAACTAGGCCACATTATAACCATCTACGTATCTGAATGATAATGGTTCTATTAGAAGTCTTGTAGAGTGTACAGCATCCAGTGTCATGTAGAGTGTCGAAAGCGAGTGTCTACAGGGCATCCACGTTCACAGGAATGTGCCGAAATTACTTAGCATCGTGCACCTACAGTACTCAGCAGTAATACATCGTAATGGTGGATCTTGCTGGATTGCGAGCACATCAGTTTGAGTTACCGGTGGAAGGTTTATGAAACTCCCCAATTTTGATGGAAATGAGTCCTAAATTTCAACCGAACTCTAGAGCACGGGTTAGATTGAACAAGGATTGTTAGTTCCACTCTTGCTAGCGAATTCATCTGTAACATTGCAAACGCTGAGAATTAGCACCTGAGGCAAGTCACCAATTTGAAATGTGGAGTCAAGAGGGTAAATTTAGATTTGTTTCTCGAAGACATGCATGTCTGCTGTAGTATCCGTATCGAAACTATTTAGTCGAGGCTGCATCGCTTGGTAATTCATAGACGACAAAATAGCAGCAGTGATAATGTTGTGGATGTATATCAAATAGTATAACGAAGTTGACTGTGATGAGTCAGGTTACAACCTCTAGCAAAAAGCACATTTTGGATGTTTCTATACGTATATCTCAAGCAGGCAATCTGATTTGTGGAACCTTGGAAGGATTCTACCTCTCAAACGATCTGTCGGACATGTTGATCACCCGAGAGAATTGAGGTGCAAGGCAAAGTACTGTTATAACGCAATCTAGGCACAAGGACTTCTTCGAGTTCGTTCAAGTTGCCTACTGGACAGCTCCAGTAATGTAAGATAGTGGGGGGTGAGATCTTCCTAAGAAATCGAAGGAATGATCACCCGGTGGAGAACAGTGATTTTCTGATCTGCTGCTCTTTTGCCTTGTCCGCAGAGGGACATTGTGAACAGTTTAACGGAAGAGCTGTCATGGAGCGAGGTTTATGTCACTACTGGCAACTTGGCAAAGAGCTAGTCTAAAACATAAGTCGTCTCAAGTCAACTCAGAAGTCAGCCACTTGTTTCGAAAACATGACACAATCTTTATATCTGCGTCGGCTAATCGAATATGTCCAGAATCATATAGTCCAATTTCGAATGTATCAGAGCGCTTTACAGTTCAGAGCGGTTCGTCCTGTTGCTGAGCTACGGGCAGTCCGATTGTAAGATGGGTATCCCTGCATCCGTTGAAGTATCGAGGCAGGTTGCATATTCTTCAGCCTGAAAGACGTGCTTGAATTTTTTCGAGGATTGATGGTCAAGCTTGAACTAAAGCTCTTGTCAAAGCTCTCGACAAAACTGATGTCTAGACGATGTTGAAGGGGACGTGTTGTGAATATTCCATCCACGTGCAGCCACATATGTTTGTTTTCTAGCTCTTCACGTGCCCCACTACCGTGTTGGACCTGTGTCCTACAAGGAGGTCTTCACTACCATCTGCAAGTTTGAGGTCACGGATAAATCCTTTGAAGTTAACCTTGGTGCGCAACTTACCCACAAGGAAGCGTCCTCATCAAACCCGGTAGGTCTTTAGGACCAACCAGTTTTGATGAAAATCATCAGTAAAACTTAGGGGTGTAAAGGAGATGGTCCACTGCGGTGGCATGGACAACTTCGAATGTCGCTTCTCTAGAAGCCTGGTATGTAAGTCGTCTCAGAATCAACTTCCAGGAAGTCAAAAAGGCGGAGAGTGGTTCATCGCAATAGACATTGAAATTGTTTTGCTTATGAGAGCATGTCGAGGTACATACAACTACTAACGCGATCGAAAGGCGAAAGATTTCTTAGATACAAGAATTTCGAAAGGCGAGGGAACAGCTCGAGCGAGAGATGCAGATATTGATTGAAGGCGAGGTTTAAAAGGAAGAAAAATTATGATCTTCCTTCTCCAGGTTGAGATGCACGGAAGAAGATGGTCGAACTGTTTGCGGTAAACTAATCCTCTACGCTTGTCACATGTACTTCGGATTGTTTGATGGAGCAGCATCTTGAGTAGTCTCGAACAAGGTCCCTTAACGTGCAGCCTGTGGATTCAATGGAGAGGGATAGTATTGCACCGCGAGTTGACGAGTATATCTGACAAGTATATACAGAATTGACCCAGATACTTCGGAAATATCAAGATCAGCTAGACATAGTTTCGTTGTGATGCTATCGGAGCTAGCCCTATGTTACACAATTGGTTTCATCGTGGACGGCGTGATGGGGTCTTCCCATCTCTTTGTTATATTACTTGGTCCGCCAGGGAAGAACATGATGAAGTACATGACAGTTTCGAGCCCTTGTTAAATTGTCAGATCCAGGATAGTAGGCTTCTTTTCCCGGCCATGCTGGCAAAGACAAAATGTGCCAGTCAACGTGAACTCCGAGTCAACAGATGCGGCTGCACCTGACGGTAAACGACGGCAGTCCGCACGAGATGAGTCAGGACCTTCTCATGTCTCTGGCTTTTGGTCAACGAAAGTTCCCTGGAAATAGTTCGCCGAGCACAGAACGACGCCACTGCTGCACTACCTCTTAAATGAGATAACTTTTGCGTGCCAATATCACAGTCTACTTGGTAGAGCTGATAATCTGAGCTCAGAACCTTTAGCCTAGAGATGTACCTCTACCATTAGACTAAGACTGTAAACAACTCTTGTCAAAGTCCACCAGCTGTCCGAGGTCTTTGGTGATGGCCAGGTAGAGTTGGCAGCCATCTGCTGAGGTTTGGACGTCGAGGGAGGGCACTTGATGCTGGAATTGACACGAGATTTACTGCTGCTAGTTCCTGGCACCCAAAACTGAAGGCCAATAGTGGTGCAAGCGACACTGGCCGCAGGTAAAGCTGAGTGGCCAGGGCGGAGTCCGAGATTTTGCATGGGAGAGATGGAGCTTGGAGAAAGAAATTAGACAGAGGGGAGTTGTTAAGAAAGCGCGTTGAGCGTGAGATGCTGGATCCATAGGAATAGTCAGTCTTGCGAGAGTTCCATCAACGCGGCGTTGTTCTCGGGAGTGAAGAGTGTTTTGGACGGGACGACCGTTGGACCGGTGCCAATGTCTTCACCTCTCCGCAGCCTTGTTGTTCCAGAATCGTGTGTTCGTCTGCTGACTTCAGAACGAGCGGCCGCGGCCTCGGGCCGTAATTGCAGGTGAGGACACCGTCTTGGTTAGCATAAGTTCACATTTGGTGCCTGCAAGTAGTTCTCAGAGGATCTCCTGTGTGCATATTTGAGTGCAAACCGAGTTTAGCTGTCTGCTGGGGACCATTTTGTTGATAGAGCTTCTATTGGAGAACTTGTTTGACCAAGATCGGAGTGCGCAACGCCGGAGGCAGGACAGGAAAATCACAATCCACATCTAAATCTCTTACAGTATACTGGGTCGTGAGATCAGAAGCTGCTTGAAACTTGAAACTTGATAACTTGAAAATTTGGACGTTCCCGGACAGATAGATTGCGAATGAAAAATTGGTAAAAAGCATGCTTTGTCCATTCTTGGCCCTCAAGATCCAGGCCATGGATGATGCTGTACAAAGACCTTAGTTGCCGCAGACCTTGAATTGCCATTTGCATTTGGCCAAGTATTGTAGATTGCGGGGTAGAAGTTCAATGGACAAAGCGAAGAAAGGGATTCAGATCAGGACCGAATCTCGACACCTTGAGCAGGGAGGGAGGTCTTTGAAAGTGCACATCAGGCGCAAGTGACAAAGTGACAGGCGAAGCCGGGATGATCCAATTACTTCTGAAGATGTGATGTTCGTAATTGCAGTGGTACGTGAGCTACTTTGAGGAATGAGATATGTATTTGGACGATTTAGAAAAGGACTTTGTAAGAGTGGGTTCACACCGAAATTTACCTGGAGAACATCACGGGCAGAGACAGCCAGATGATTGATTGAGCTCGGAAAGACTCTAGCGAAATTAGCGTTGCAACGAACCGTAAGGAATCTGAACATCTCTGGACACTGATGTTCAAATGTGTGTGGTGGACGGACTTACAGGTGCCTGGAAGATTGGGAGTCGGTCGAATCCAGTTTGGAGCAAAGTAGTTGGAATTCGAGAACAATCATAATCTGTTGCCCACAGCCTGCGTGCATAGTAGGGAGAGTGCAAAACGGGTCGACGGCGGGTCTCAAGCCCCTAATCTTTAGCCTTGCACATCTGTTCAACTCAAGTTCGGAGTGTGCACACATTGTTGCGATATTGATTCAATATCAAAAGCGAGTGTGCTTGTAGCTCGCAGGCGAAATATTAGCATCACTGTCAACACGGAAGTCTACAGCAGTTAAGCACTTGTTCGCTAGGTTTAGAATTATCATGGGATTGAGCTATCACATACCCCAGAAGCGTTAACTATCGGTGGGGAGATTGTTGAATTGTAGCCTTCTTCCTCACGTTTGAGGAGGACCGTCTACTTCGTCCATCATGGATTCCCCAGATGAAAGAGATGTCGGGACCGTCATCCTTTCTATCTCGAGAGCTATCCATGACTCGAAACAGATGGCTAAAGAGATTTCAGTCAGTAAGTCCAATTTTCTCATGCTGGCATTTTACTTGGGTGAACTGCAAATGGTTGTGGACGAACTGAGCAACAATGACTCGCAATTTCTTAATTCCCTCCCAATAAGGTCGGAGCTTAGTCAGCTGGAGGACGTGACGGATACAATCTACCGATTCACCAGAGCGTGCGCAACCAGGAGTCGCATTTTTTTGCTCTACAAAGTCGCCGACTTGCTGCAGAGTATTAGACAGTTGGTCAAGAATCTTGCGAATGGTTTGTCGGACCTGACTGATACACTGCCCACGGATCTGAAAGAAGGATTCTCTGAAGTCCAGGAAAAACTGTATAGAGCTTCTTTCTTCATGGAACCTGGTCACCAACAACTGATACTGGAAATCGAAGAAGGCTTGTCGTCTCATCATGTGGACGAGCCATATGCAACTAGTCTACTTCGGAAAATTGCAGAGATTTTTACCGTGCCTCTATCAGCAGCTGCAGAGCTGAAATTAGAATTGCTACGGGACCTGGAGAATTCGAAAACTGCACAGGATGATCCAGATCATAATGAGTTGCAGGATCTATGTGATTTGTTGAACCCTGCTGCAGTCCTAGCTGATGTTAGAAGGCTGGCGGTGGAGGACGGTGCAGTTGCTCGCTTCGGAACGCTTCAAATCAACAGCTCATTTATTTGTCCCATCACCGGTCAGTTGATGCGGGATCCAGTAATGCTGGTGGAGGCTGGGTTCACATATGAGAGGGAAGCTATTTGTGAATGGTTTGAAAGAGGTCATAATACCTGTCCCGATACGGGCGAGGCGTTAGAGAGTCTGGAGCTGGTGCCGAATATAAGTCTCAGACAGGCTATTACAGAATTTGTTGAACGTGCCACACGCAAAAGTATCACCATGGCGATTGACAAAATTCGAGAATCCGGGGATGTCTCTGAAGTGGAGGAGGCAATAGATATAATCAAGTCTCTGAGTGACACCAATCCAAACTACAGGCGTTTGATCGCATCAATGCATGGAATCCCCCCGCTGATAGTGATTGTAAAGCAGTACCGTAAAATGCCTGGAGCTTGGGAGAAAGCTATGAAGCTACTCTTGAGTATTGCTTCGCTTGGTGACGAATATAGAGTAAGTATACACCATTCATCCAGTAATGTCCGAAGTCAACGAGCTCTACTTTTGTGCATACATTAACCTGAGTATCGATCATTTGCTGAGGGAAAGTAAGGTCTTAGGAGCTAACCAGTTTACCGCTAATAAGCGTTAAGTGGGGTTAAGTTGTGATATGATGAAGAGTTGAGTGTCGAAAATTGTGAGAGTAAGCTTCGCATATCGTTTAATTTATCTGTCATTATCTGTCTATCCTCATAGATAATCTGCCTAAGAGAAATGCAAGTAAAGAGAAATCAGTTTCAATTTCATCTGCTTTCGTGATCCTACATGCCCAATTCTTCCTCGTTTGCTATATGTGTAGTTGATGATGAAGGACCATGGTGTGATCGCCGCTCTTATTCAACACCTATGGAAAGCCGAAGTGGAGAATTCGCTCGGTCTCCTTCTGCTTCATGAGATTACGAAGGTTGAAGGAGGACGGAAAGCGATACTGGAGCTGGAAACGAAGCCTCTCATCATTGTTGCTCACGCAGCAAATGGTGATTCGCAGGAGAATAGATTGGTCGCGGAGAAAATTCTGGATAATCTCTGTCGTGAGAGTCCACAGGTGGCCATTACGGTTGCGAAATATCAAGCATTTCACCCGTTAGTAAACATGATGTCTCCAGGTAAGCATTCCACAAATATGTGCACCAGTTGCAAGCATGAATATTCTTCTAATTTGCAAGTGACTGGTGGGGACATTCACATTTCTCGTGATTAAATGTCCCAAGAAGACTGGCTCGACTTCTGAGGGGATGGAAGGCATATGTCCCAAACAAAGTGAAAGCATAGAAACATCATCAGAGTGCTGGAGCAACACCAGATGCTTTTGATTCGATCAACAAGATATCAGTACAAGGCCATCTCTTCCAAGATTCTGATTATCTACGTGCTGGCATGTATTACAGGGGAGCCACTTGAGATCAGGGCTGAAATGGCAAGAGCGGTTGTTGACCTTAATCTCAGTGACACCAGCCATTCTTCTCTAATAGATGCAGGGGTTCTTGCACCGCTGTTGGATCTCCTGCAGAATGGAACAAGAAGAAGCGAACAGATCGCTGCTGCAACAGCCTTACTGTCGTTGTCAGCCCGTGAAACCAACCGGGTCGCTCTTTGCAAAGCTGGTGCTATTCCTGCTCTGGTGAAATTCATTGCAGCAGGTCAACAGGATTTGAGAGAGGCTGTTATGGGGACCCTAGCCAATCTGGCTACTGACCATCAAGCAGCCACTGAAATTGACCAAGAAGGCGCAGTTTATCGGCTTATTGAAATGTTGCACTTAAATCAACTAGGTCACGAGTTTGCTCTGAGGACCTTACAATGTATGGCGAAGACTAGCAAGACGGTGAGGGTCACGATGAGAGAACAGAAGTTGGGGCCCTACTTTCTATCTCTGCTGCGTAACACGAGAGTTTCGACCTCTTGTCGTGCAATGACGTTAAGCCTCCTGTGCCATCTTACTGATGATCGGGATTGTCGTTCATGCATCAATCTATCGAGGAGTGATCTTGATATTCTGCTTAATTTCTTAGGCCAGCCCCTACAAATGGAGGAACACGAGTGCATTTTAGGGGTCATCGATGGTGTTTCCAAGGTAGCAAATGTAGATAAAACATCCTTGAAAACCGACAAAGTCCTGTTAGTTCTAGTCAAGTTTCTGGAGGTAGGGAGCATGCGATGTCAAGAGTATGCTGCTTCAGCCCTTTCAATTCTCATGAATCCTAGTGAAACGAGCGTAGAAAGACAGCTATTCATAGCCAAGAATGGGGCAATACCTCTTCTGACTAGATTGTTGAGAGAAGGCTCCGTGCGAACGAAGTGCTCCTCTGCAGCAGTGTTGGGGCATTTGTCGCAAACCACGCCTCAGCTGACGAAGTCGTTGAGCCTTCCTAAGAGAATAACCTCGTGGTTTGGCATAAAATTATATCAGCACTGTAGAGTGCATTCGGGAAAGTGTAGTGTCAAGAGAACGATGTGCCTTGTCGAGTCTGGTGCGGCGTTGTATCTCATCCGTCTCTTGGAAGAAAAGGAGCAACCTGCAGAGAAGGCTTTAGAAGCCTTAGCTACTTTGATACCGGAGGAGGACAGTGCCAAAGGGCTGGAGTTTCTGGTGAAGAACGACATCATACCATTGCTGATAGCAGTTTTGGGAAAAACTGACGGTCTAACGAATAAAGCTGCGAAGATGATCGAACAGATATTTAGAGATAGAAGATACAGAGACGAGAAATATTGGCACGGAGCCCAGCAAACACTCTGCCTTATAATCGCGACCGGTACAGGGGATGCTAGGAGGGCTGCAGCTCTTGCTTTGGAACACCTGGGTCTGGTTCCAAGGGGCTCTACTTACACCAACTAATTTTTTGATTTGACGAATTCATTAAGGCTGGAATCTGCAGAAGTGTACAGGTTTTTTTAATTTATGCTCAACTGATTAAAAACCCTTTCTTTTCCTTTTTTTGTACACTGATAGTAATAGGTCATCCTGGCGCAGGAAGAGCATCACTTTTTCCAACGATTGATGTACGCAGTGAGTCGATTAATTATTCGTCATTACCCCCCATCAGGCTGTCCCCCCTGTAATCTCTTTAGATTGGGGAGAGACCCTGTCAATCTCCTAAGTCATCGAAACAGCTGATTATGTAGAGAAGACCTGATGTATTGACTCGCCTTGTCGAGACAGAGTTTCATCTCGTAGCTCGCTTGCCTGCCTGCCTGTAGTCATTCATATCTGTTCTGAGAGTTCTATATTTATCTGTTTATTGTTCGGCATGACACTCCAAGTACATGACATGACAACATGTCACCAAGTGATATGCCCTTAATAACTTTCGTTTGGAGTATATCTCTCGTGAACTCTGAGGTCGTATACGGGAGATCTCCGAGCCTCAAATCCATGCAGACCTTTTGTCTCCCTTAGGTTTCTTGAGATCGAGCCTTCTTCGGTCCTGGACTACTGGGCCCATCCTTGGTCGCAGTTCAAGAAGTATCCTTAGGTATTACAACTGCGTTGTCACGGGTTCTCGAAGAGCAGTGCTTCCCACAATTCAACGTGCCCTGGCCCAGCCGACGAGCCATGCCATGCCTGAGCCTGACATTATTAGTGGAACAGACAGTTTTGACACAATCTCCTTTTTACAATGCTCGCATTCACAGAGGCAGCAAATTGCTCCATTGCTTGGCATGCCTCCTCGTTGGATCCAAGTTGTCATACAATTATTCAGTTGTTGACGAATTCGCCAATCCTTTGTGGAGTTATCGAGCACGTCAACTTCCAATTCTTTTCACGAGCATCATTGTGGTTTAGTTGACATTACATCAATGACATATTTTTTTCAGTCGTTTAATTTTCTTAAAAACTCTATCAAGTAATGATGTATAGTTGACATGTCTGTAACGCTTATTTTTGAAATTTAGACTACTTTTACTCCAAAGTGCATTTGTCCTTTATCTTCCATCGTCATTTGAAGCTCTCTTCCAAATCTAACACCTTGAAGATCAATCAAGCATGTTCAACAAAACTCGAGGTTCTAATATTCAGTTTTTGTAAAGTTCCGTGAAGTGTTTATTTTTTATTTCTTTTATCAATTTTGGATTAGAGAGGGAGCAAGATCCTGCATATTTTCGGCAGAAGGGGACACATATTTTCATTTACTATATCATAAAGAAATTATGAAAATTGTGTTTAGCTTTAAATCTAAATTTGTAAACATCTACAAATCGAAAACATATAAATGGATAGTAAAGTTGGCGGGATGAAATTTGTTTCATTAATCATCAAATTATTAGTTCAGTTTATAATTTAATTATTACTTTTAAACTTCTAATTACTCTTACATTTTTCTGTGTGAACACTTTCATACAAAACATATAAAATTATATGATCACCCAAGTCTTATTTAATGTTGGTGATAGAACGTAGAGCTGTTAATCTGCAGTCAACCAACTGATATAAATTCTGAACTGCACCGTGATGAAAGAAAAATTGTGAATTCATGAATATCGTATTTGAAAATGAAATCTTGAAAAATATTCAGTTTTGTTGGTTGTATTTCTCGTATGCAGGTCAAAATTTCAGCTCATTGAGGATGAGCAGAGTCAAACTTGTAGTCCCTCTCCAAAATAATCTAAAAATACTATTTTATACGAATTTTTGGTGTCTCAGTCAGTCCAACATTTTGAGGTAGTCAAATATTGTCATGAGTGATATATCTTCACATTGTCGAGTATATCACAGTATATGTAAAAGAGACTGATTAGCACTCATATTTCTGTTCGTGTCTTACCCTATGATAACACCGACAATTTTACTCACTTTAAGTCTAAATTGCATGCTTCTCGTTATTTCAGTCATACAGTTGGATAACTATGTTCTCTGGATGCAGAGCTTCCTCAATCTCTGGAGGTTTTAACCATATCACTCAATCTTATGGATTGTCCACATCTTCTTGCTTTGGTTATTGCGAAAGGTGCCCGAAAGCTAATGACCCCTATGGAAGGGTATGCCTCGGCCACTCACCGGTCGATGGTGATGTACTTGGCATGAGCTGGGAAGCAGCTGTAGCACACATCATAAGCTTCTGCAGCTCTTGGATCCAAGCCTCATCAGACTACGAACAAGTACAAATAAGCCAATAACACCAGACTTGGCTGCTTCACGCACAGTCAGCGTGCAGATTGTTTGCAACAGCCGAAGGATGACCTTCAGCTGTTTCTGAATTGGAATGTACAGCTTTTTGACTTGATCTTGAACCATAGCAGCATGTGTGGCAAATGTCGAGTACCAGCGTGAACCAGTGAGTGGCCTTCACTGATTCGTGAGAACACGCCAAATGCTGACGTCTGAACCTCATCAGACGATTTTGCAGTTTCACAAAGGTTGTTGATCGAGACAAGGAGCTCGAAGCGATTGTGTTTCTCTCCGGTGATCATTTTGTTTGCTTCATCTTGTCTTGTGCTGTTATTATAGATCCGGAAAAAAAAACACAACCAGCAATAAATGGCGATCGGAAAAAGGACGATGGATGCTTTTTTTGACACATGCAGTATGTCCATGGGCTTTGGACTGAATCATGATCGTTTGTTCACGCTCCCAAAGATCAAAAGTAGCCACAGAACTATTTCTCTCTCTCTCTCTCTCTCTCTGATTTATAGCATACTTAATCTGAGTTACATAACATCACTTAATGGTCAATTTTAAATAATAAAATTAGGTGCTGTAAAATGTTAGGATATAATTCATGTCTTTAACTTGGGTTAGTTAAAATGTAATCAAGATTAAGGTTAAGCTCTCACTGTAAAATACAGCTAGCAGAAACTCTTGTTGATACTTTTATCTTTTCCATCGGTAAAAAAATTTGTATTCTATAAAGGTAGACTCAATAAGAAAACCATTTACTTTGGCGTTTCGATGTGAATGTCTATGTTATGGGTCTTTCCTTGTGAAAGAGCGTATCCATTGGTATGAGAACGAAAGGAAAAAACTTTGGCAGTGAAGACGAGCACAACTGGATGTCCGATGAAGAAATGTTGGGATAAGCGCTCCTGTGACAGCACGCGCTGTCTGACGCGCAGACTCACAATTTGTCGGTACGAGGTTTTCCTAGCGAAGGGCGCGATCAAAGATACTCCGCCGGAAAGACCTTCACATATTTGCAATCCTTATTAGATAAGAGATTGTTGAGTCAAACAACATTGGTGTGAGACTAGACAATCTACTTTCTGTAGTTTACATTTTATATAAATTCCACTGAAATTTTAGAATCGTGACTTCTCTCTGAAAATTTTAGATGAAGATGTGAGATGAATAATTTTTGTAAGATTTTCTTAAACCGCAAATGCTAGTTTTCAGTGATGGAGGCTCAAATATTCTATCACAAATATTTGTTACTAAAGTTATATGACTTCTTAAAACTAATGAGCTTCAAGATAAAGATTTTGACATAAATATTCAATAACATAATATATTTTTTGGTGATATTATTGTAAATTTTTTTTCTTGGAATGATAATTAATTATGATAGTAAGATATTTCATCTTTTTTATTTTTAATCTACATCTTATCAGTCTTGTCTTGTGTGCTCTTTCATCATGATAAGTAAAAAAAAAATTACAATGTCATTGTAAAAACTTCATTGACTCTTCATTTACAGTAAAGACATCATATTCTTCATACTCTTCATCAAGTATTGCATTAGATTTGACTTGAGATGTATTATATTCACAGAATGAAAAGAATGGCAAGAATTTTAGATCTAGAGGTAAAATCTAAGCTTATATACTTATAAAGAAAGACAATTGTATGATAGAATTACAGCAAAACTTGTCACGTCAAGAAAGATGTTTGTGTAAAGATCAAAACTGAATAACATTTCTTCTTGTGGTTCGATAGTTTGATTTGAGGATGACGACATGTTCAAAGATGGAATATGATGACAAAATAATGCTCCATGATACTCATCAAACAATGCTGATAATGGGATCAAGATTATGACTTTCTTATCACTTTTATAATATTAGAAATTTTTTGGGTCTATTTTCAATATCAAAATGATTGATTTTTATGAATTATGATCAAAATTGTGAAATTAAAGCTATTGAATTTGATAAGATTCAATTGTTTGATGAAATCCAATATATATTGGTACAAATGTTATTTATACAAAACAAAAATACTTATATCTCTTCACATATAAGACTTAAAAAGACTTTAATGAAAGTCTAAAATAAAATGTATGATAAAAGTGCATTAAGTATACACAAGCATATTATCTCATACATGCTACATATCATTAACCTTCTCTATGAGATCAACTTTACAAAAGTTAGGTTGAGATATCTCATGTATGAAATTTCATGCTATAATTCATGAGTAATAAATATTTGATATTCCTTATCAAATAACTACATCATAAAGAAATAAAATATTTTTTAAATGTGCTAGTAGAAATACGAAAAATATTCATTCATGAATGTTGTTGAGGAGAAAAGTGATCATTATAAACATAATGATGTTATTCAAGTAAAAGCTTAGATACAAATAGAGCAAATTTTCAAGAATAGTAATAGAAGTATCAAGTTAACATTGATGAGTTTCAAATAACTAGATTAGATGATAGATATCAACTAAAATCAATCACAACTAGATTAGATGATAGATATCAACTAAAATCAATCACAAGAAGATAATCAAATTGGAATAGACAATATATCAAGAAAATTTATTTATTAGGATATCTTTCAAATTCAAATAATAAAATTCATCTGAATTATGAGCTAATTCATATATTCTTAAAAATCATGATATTAAAACTAAGATGATGACATTACATTATTGTTGGAGGAATAAGAATACTTTCCTTGTAGAGAAACTCAAATTTCTGTAAATAAACTTGAGTGAAATATTGCTATGAAATGTGACATGTAATTGCTAGTGG